TGAAGGAGGGGAGGAGGTGTGTGTTTGTGTTGAGATTTGCATTTTTAATATATCATTTAGACTCGTCTGTGAGGGAGGGCAAGTCTGCAGGCAGGGATGACTCATGGCTTTTGACATCTCTTTATTGCCTTGTACCATTGTAAAAATTTTCTAGACTTAAGCTCCTTACGAACAGAGGCCTTTATGTTGTTCCTGATATATCCCTTACAGGACTTCAATGCTATGGCCATAGTCAGGGCTAAATATTTATTGAATAAATATTGTAAAACCTAAAGCAATCCAGTGTACATAGGACAGATAAGTGAAATAAAATCTTCATGTGTCTGTTTATGCAGAAGGTAAAGAGGAGAATTATTAGTACCTTGTTGCTGGAGAAACAAAGATGAAGAGAATTGGAACAACATGATCTTTATGCTAGGTTAGCTAAACCTCTATTCGGTGTTTTCCGTTATTTTGACTGTATAAATGCAACTCACTGGCCACATAACATTGTTAGGATTATTTTTTCTTTCTTGCACAACTTTTTGTTTTCCCTTGAGTTGATGATGATTTTGTCTGCTTATTTGCTTAGTTTCCTGTGTACTTCTTACTAATTTATCCCCAACCTCTCTGCCATTTGTACAGGTCTCTCCTCAGTATGTTCAAACTCAGTGGGTGTTGTAACAATTTTATCTTCTTGGAAATCCTCTCCCAGAGCCTTCTCTCTTTCCCCAGTCTGATCCCAGCTGCTCTTGGGCTGGCTGCTTGGCTCTCAGTTTAGGATTTCCTTCACCATTATCCTGAAGATATCTTCACCTCTGTCCTGGGTCTTTATCTTCTTCGTTCCTTCATTTTGCCAGGCATATCCTGAGGAAGAGTGCACAGGAGGTCAATTTTCTGAGACCCTGCATGTCTAAAATGCCTTTGTTCTACCCTCACCCTCCAATGGATAGAACTCCAGATTTAACACAATTTTCTCTAGCTTCCAGAAATGCCGTTGAAAAGTCCAGTACTATTCTGAGTCTAGATCTTTGGTATGTATCCCACTTATTCCTCTGTGGAAACTTTAAGAATCCTCTTGTTCCTTAAATTCATGAGGCTGTGTCTTAATAAAGGACAGTTTTCACTCATGTGCTGCGTACTTAGTGGGTCCTTACCATCTAGAACAGAGGTTCCAACTGTGACCAAGCCCCTGTTTAATGGGCCAAATCTGGCCTGCCACAGTTGTTATAAGTAAAGTTTTATTGGCACATAGCTACACTCGTGCATTTACATATCGTCTATGGCATTACACAGCTAAGTTGAATGATGTGACACACTGTGGTTTACAGAGCTTGAAACGTCTGTGGGTTTTTACAAAACGTGTTTGCTGACCCCCAGTCTAAAAAAATCAAGAACTTCAGTTTTGGCAAAAAAAAATTTCTGTTTATTTTTAAAATTTTCTCCCTCATGTTTTGTGTTCCCACTTTCCGGAGCTCTCACTACTTAGATGTTTAACCTCCTGGACTGGACTCAGATTTTTTTCTGTCCTCTTCCATCTCTTCGTTTTTGTTTGCTCTTTTGCCTGAGAAATTCTCTTTACCTCCCAACCTGTCCATGAGTTTTTCATTTCTGCTGTCATAACTCCTTATTTTGGCATACATTTTTTATTTTTTAAATTAACTTTTTTATTGTAATATAAAACAAAAAAACACAATATATAGTTAATAAATTGTTATAAAGCAACCATCCTTATAACTGCTACCAGGTCTAAAATAGAGTATTTCCAGTAACTCAAAAGCCCCTCTCTGTGTCCCAGTCTAATTACAACCCACTCTGACACATATATCATGGATTTCGACCCATTGCAATACTATCTTTTCTGCAGCTCAGATTATCCCAGCTTCAGACAGTGAGCCTCTTCGTGCTGTCCACTGTGTCCTTTTGTGACCTTTGTACCCTTTGATTGTTTCCTTGCTATGTACTTTAACAGGATGTTTAAGACTCCTCTGGTACATTCCCTACCCTAAATCTGGGATCACCCACTTCTCTAAAAAACTGTATTCTTTTAGTAGGAAATGGAACTTTAAGCTCCCATTCTGGTTGCTAACAATGCTCATTACTCCTGGATTGGTCGTCGTTTCTAAGTCATCATTTGGAGGAAAGAGCATATGTGTTTTCCTTCCCTTTTTTTTTCATGCTTCTATTACATTTATATTATCAGAACATACAGCCATTACATACTATCCTTTCTCTCTTTTAATCTTCATTTGGTCTTACTTCTATATAACTATATGTTTAATGCTCACTACCAGTTGATGTATCAATGTTTCTGTAGTCATTTAGGTTATCTGAAGCTCATTCTTCAGAAGATGTCTCAGGATGGGATCATGAGAACAATATTCCCTGAGTTCTTGCAAGTTAATAATTGTTTATCTGTGCTTGAAAGTCAGTTTTGTTAATTGTATCATCTTTGGCTTGCATTTTCTTTCTTTGAATGTCTTAAATATTTTACTCTCTTTGAGTAAAACAGCATTGCTGTTGAAACTCTGGTATCATATTTTTTCCCTTGTAAGTCATTCACTCTTTTTGCCTAGCTGCCCAAAAGTTTATTTATAGTGTAAATGTTTTCCTAGAATATATTTGGTGTTACTTCTTCTGGGTCAGTGTTCTCAGGTATGCAGTATGTCCCTTCAGTAAGTAATTTCAAGCCTCTTTTTATTTTAGCAATTAGAGTTTTTAGTATTTGTTCTGTTCCCTTGCTTGGATTTCTGTTAGGGACTGCTGTTCTCTGTATGTTGCTTCTTCCATGCCTGTCTTCATTATTAGCCACTTTCTTTCAAATTCTTTTTATCTCTTCATTTCTTTTTAGCATTTAATCTTTACTTCCTGTGTTGTTCTTATGGCGTTGGCTGTTGTGTGTTTATCCACTCTTATATTTCTATTAGTCTTCATTTCTGAAAAGATTTTTCAAATTTCTAATTCTTTATTAAGTTCTATCACCTTGTTTTGAAGCTCTTCTGATTTTTATGTGGCTCTTTTAGTGTCTTGTATGATTTTTTTTATGTTTTTAACTTATTTTGAAATTTTGATAGGTTTTATTGGCATGCTTTCATTGTCTGTGTGCTGTCGTATTTTTATGCCCAAAAGCTTTTTTATTCTCTTAATGCTCCTCTTTTTTTTTTAATAGAAGTCACTTATCGTTTCTTAGTCTATCTTATTTATCTCTCTAAGGATAGTAATGGTAGTATTTTTTAAAGTTTTATTCTACCAGACTAATTTATTTCTTCTTCTCCTCCTCCTCCATTTGTTTTGGCCTTTATTTGTTTGGCCTCCATTTGTTTGGCCTCCTTGGTTATTGGCCCATGTTTAGGAGTTGGACAGTAAAAAACTGATTAGAAAGTCTGTGTGCCATGAGTTTAAGTCTTGTTGAATGCTAGACTTTACCATAAAGTAATCTGGTTGAGCCATTTTATCATGAAACCTCCAGTGTCAGTATCTTTTAGTTGATTTTTTTCTTTGGTGCTGATCAAATTTTTCAGAGAAGTTTCTTTCGGTCACCTACCCTGGAGGATATAAGCCTGACTGATAGTGTTCTGGGAGCCATATGAAGAGAAGAAAATTGTTACTCTGGTATATAAACTTCCGCTTATTAACGAAGCTGCTGTTAGTTGTTGATGGTTTCCCCTAGTCTAGACTTTCATTTTTAATTTCTCCAGAGAATAACCTCTAGCAACATGCCTGGGAGGGGAAAGACAGTTTGCTGAGCTCTCTGGAATAGGTGAAGAGAACTGGAAGGTTCTATTTCTTATCAGTATTTTTTTTTTTCTAGAAAATCCCCTTGTTTTTAGGCTCACCTTCAACCTCACTTCCAGACATGCCTATTGTTTCAAATTGCTGAGCTTTTTATGGGTTCTGCAGCATAAATTAATTTGAATTAAATTTTCCTGTGTCTGCTAAGTCAGTTATTTGTGTTTTTACTTTCCACTTTCTAAAATGCTGTTGCTGTTGCTTCTTTCATTCTTTTTGTCTTGAAGGGGTGTGTGCGTGTGAAGCCCTTTACTATGTTCAGTGGTATTTCAGGAGAGAGAGCAGAGCTAATGCACACTTTTCAGTTGACCAGAAGTTCCTTGACCTATTTAAACAGAGAAGCTCAGGGAAGTCACTCTCCCAGGTCTATTCCTGATTTTGTTAGAGCAAATGACACAGTGTTTTTCTAATAACAGAGTTTTGTTTGCTTGTTTTAAGGGATACTCCTGATGCTGATCAGAAAAGTCACAAATTATGTTTTATTTTCCTCCTTTATGCCAAGCCTCAACTGTGTTTAACTCAGTCCTTTTCTATAGCTTTGCAGGCCCATGAATGAAGTGTATTTCATTTATCATTCATGAACAGGAAAGAGAATTTGAAATGTCGTATAGAAATGCTCTGTGTTAAGATGTATATGATAAGCCCTAGAACAACCACTAAGGAAATAACTCAGAAAAATATAGTGAAACACCATGAAGGAAATTAAAAGCCTGCGTCAGAAAATATTCACTTAGTATCAAAGGGTAAGTAGTAAACGAGGGACAGAGGAACAAAAAAAACATGAGATACAGAGAAAACAAAATTAAACTGGTAAACATAATCCAACTGTATCAATAATAAATGTGAGTGGATTAAATAGTCCAAATGGCAGAGATGACCAGACTAGATTAAAAAAAAAAAAAAAAACCAGAACACAATATCCAGCTATATGCTGGATAAACAGAATAGGAAATAGAAAAAGAATAGAGAAAAGTTGTGTGGTTTTTTTTTTTAAGATCAACAAAACTAGCAAACCTTTTAGCTAGATTGACGAAGAAAAAAGAATACTCAAACTACTAAAATCAGAAATGAAAGAGGGGCAGTACTACCAACCTTACGGAAATAAAAATGGTGATAAAGGAATCCTATAAACAATTCTATGCCAGTAAGTTGGACAACTTAGATGAAATGGACAAATTACTTGAAAGGAATCCTCAATAACATAAAAAGTTGGCATTGTGATGCATTTACAGGCTGTTGCCTTCTCCACTCAAGGACGCAGTGGAAGTATCAACCTGGAGAAGATGCTATACGATGCAAGAGGTGAACTCTGCCCTTAGCAAAATCCAGCTGGTGGGGTATTCTCAGAAAATTGTGAGTGTAAATATGATTTTAAGTGATGCATGAATGCTTTCGATTCATATTGTTACCCTTTGGGAGGATCTTATAGTTCCCTTTCTTTAGCCATTCAGTCACTGAGAATCTTGTACTAGTACGAGGTGAAAAGACTGTCATTATCCTCCATCCTCCAGGTTCTTGTTGGTGTTCTTTCCTAACACTCACATTCCCCAGCATTAGTTAGCCTTCTCTTGACCAGCTTGTAATGATCAGGAGAAAGACATCTCACTCTATTCACTTCAGAGCAGTGGGTGCAACTTTATAGGTTTTGGACAGGTGAAATAGGAAACAGCATATAACAGATCAAGAAGCGATTTGTCAAGTATAACTTTTGAACTTTGACCAGATAGTAAGGGTTCCCATTTTGTTAACTTGTGCCCAGAGCCCCTCGGTATAGAATGACCAAGAGATTAATGCCTAGCCTAAAAAAAGAAAAAGAAAACCCAAGTAATTTTCTTTTTGGCCTTTCTGGTAATCTTTCGTCTCTCTGTCTTTTGATGAGTCAGGCCTGGGTTCCTGGTACATGTGGCTGAAACTCAGAGAGGGGGCAAGTAAAGACTGTAGGATTGCTTTCTGGGTCTACCATATGGTCTCCATTTTTTTGTTTTGGTTTGGTTTGGTTTTTGTTTTTTTTGCTTTATTTTATATTTTGTTTTACTTTAAATTTTCTTTATCTAAGTGGATAAGGATATTTCTGGGTTTTTTTTCCTGCAAAGACTTATCTGGTGTGACTGTACTGCTGAAAGCTCATCACACATTCTTACTGTGGTTCTTTTCTAGGAGCTTTTTGGTGCAGTCCAGGTGACTCCGCTAAGCTCAGGCTATGCCCTTGGAAGTTCCAACTGGATTATCCAATCCCATTATGAGAAAGTATCATATGTTTCCGGATCCTCCTTACTTACCACACATCCCCAGGTAATTCTAAATCTCTTTTAACAACTCAGTTTTTTTGTTATTTAATCCAAATTCATAATATATCCAGAGTATCATCAGTTATTTTTAAATCTTCCTAATTTTGGTTTCTACATGTATCCTTTTATTTTTTTTAATTTTTGTTGTTATGGTAAGAATGCTTAACATGAGATCCATCCTCTTAATTCTTATACTATACATTATTGTTGACTATAGGTACAGTGTTGTGTAGCAGATCTCTAGAGCTTATCTTACTTAACTGAAACTTTATGTTCTGTAGATATTCTTCATAAAAGTTAGATTTTTCGTGTCCCAGTATTTAGGATTGCAAGTTCCTCTGTAAGATCCTGCTGTCTTTAGGTTCATCTCTAGGATTCTGAGATTTTCCACCACTTCCAATTACCATAGCCTGATATAGAACAGAAATGGTCACTCATTTACTCAGCAAATGTTAGTTATTTCTTTACTGAGGGTCTACTGTGTATCAAGCACTCATCTAGGTGTTAGAGAATCAGTGGTGAGCCACAGGCAAAGTCCCAGCTCATGATTCCGTGTTCAGAAGAGCAGAGAGTGCCATTGTGATTGCAGCATGCTGAGTATAGTCAGCAGGGGTGTCCATGAGATAAGCAGAGCTAGGTCACATGGAACTCTGTAGACCATGATGAGAAATTTGGATTTTATTTTACTTTACTTTTAAAGATTTACTTATTTTAGAGAGAGAGCACAAGCAGGAGGGGCAGAGGGAGAGGGAGAAAGAATCTCAAGCAGACTCCAAGCTGAGCACGGAGTTCGATCTCACAACCCTGAGCTCAGGGCTCGATCTTACAACCCGGAGATCACGACCTGAGCCGAAACCAAGAGTCAGATGCCCAACCAACTGCACCACCCAGGCACCCCTGGATTTTATTTTAATGTGTAGAGGGAAGCTATTGGAAGATTTTAAGTCAGTCCGTTAACAATCTTATTTGGCAAGTAGCTAAGTACATAACCATTGTTACAAATGTATTCTTTATTCCTTTTTAGGTATTATTGTTCATTTCATAAATCCTGATTCTTTCCATGTTTATAAAGGAGGGGCAGAGAAGATTAGATAGTTGGCTGTTGGATGGGTACAAACGTAGATAACTTGGGGAAGCCCATATCCTGTTTTAATATGAAGGGGAAAAAATGACTGCTCTAGGTCTAGAACAATAAGATGCACCTGAGCTACCACTTTGTATTGGCTTTTTTCATACCTTTTTTATAATTAAGTTTCATCTCAAGGTCTAGAGGGGACAAATTGCTGTTTTTTCCTATAGCTAGCAGAATTCTGGGCCTTTCCCGCTTATTGAAATCAAAAGCCCATCAATGTCATCTTAATCTGCTTCATTGAATCAAAATACTTTATTGGCAGCTTCTATCATTCTTGATATATTCTTCCATAAAAGACAGAAAGATTACTTGGCTGCCAACTCTTCCGATTTGTCCTGCTTAGATCAAAGCCTCTACCCTACTACTGATGCAATTTCCAGTAAATTATTCTTCCAAGGTTCATAAATTTAAAGGGAAAATAAGGTCTTGAAAGTAATGAGCAACATACCTAAGTAATTCATTTTAATTTCTAGCTGGCAACCAGTGTTGTATGTAGAAAAAAAAAATGAAGTAGATTTTCTTTTACCCAGATAATTAGATTCTATATTGAATTAGCAGGGATAAGAAAAGTTTAGGTTTGGAAAAACTTAATAGTCAGCTTCATAGGTCAGCAGACTATGGCCCATGGACCAAATTTGGCTTGCCACCTGTTTCTGTAAATAATATCTTATACAGCCACATACATTTAGTTATGGATTGTGTATGGCTGCTTGCACACTATAACAGCAAAGTTCTGCTTTGGAGTTAAACTTTACAGAAAAGGCCAACCACTGACCTACTTGAGTGGAACCCTCCGAGCTGGGAAGAATAGGCTGCTGTAGTGATCTAATAAGCTAATAAGCAGAGGGGAGTGGGGAGTTGGATTAAGCCTGATGTGGTAAGAATGGAGTGACAGAAAACATTGGCAGTGTTTAATTCAACAAATACTTATTGATTGCTTTCTGTCTTCAGAGAAGGAAAAATACAGATTTCATGCTTAGATGATACTGAGAATGGTGATGATGACACTAATCCAGTTGACAAGGAGGAGTTGGCAGAGGGGGTTCTGGTTTTAGGAGGGGGTAGTGGCTATGATGAATAGGAATTTGAGTGAACACTGGGGACAGATGAAAATATAGAACTGGAACTTGGATGTGAAGGCAAGCCTGGAGACAAATTGGAGGAGCATCAGATTTTTTAAAGTATGTAAAGAGCAGAAGGGGAAAAACTGAGCTGTGGGGAACATTTACCAATAGGAAGTGGAAGGAAGAAAAACAATCTTGAATAAGAATGGAGAGTTAGAGGAGAATTGAGGCCCATAAAAATACAGCATCCCAAATGGAAGGAGAGAGCTAGCTTTTACTGAGCAGAATGTCTCAGTATTCATTTTTCTGATTGATATTCAACAGCATACTGAATTCTTATATTCTGATATTTATCTATTGATGGTAATATTATCTGCAAAGAAGTAACAATTTTGTCACTTTTCTTCCAATCCTTTTATCTTTTCTTTCTTTTTTCCTGTCTTACAACTACATACTCTAGTCCCAGGTAGACAGAAGTGATGATAGTGGAAGCCTTGTCTATACTAGATTGTAAAGGGAATGCTTTAGTAGCTTCTTCATTAAATAGGATGGCTTACTCCTTGTTTTTAGCTACCAAGTTAGGAGTTTCTCCTCTGTTCCCAATTTTCTGATTTTTAAAAATCAAATGTAGATGTTGTACTTTATCAAATGCTTTTTCTGAGTCTGTGAGATGATTGTGTGATTTCTTTCCTTTAGACCAGTAATGTAGTGAATTATAATACTAGCTTTTCTTACATTTAACTGTCCTTGTAGTCTTGGGATAAGTCTTATTTGATCACAATTTATTCTTTTTAAAATACGCTCCTGGAATAAATTGGTCAGTGTGTCTGTCTGCATTACTGATTTTCTTCAAAGAATAAGTTTTTGCTTTTAATTGTTTTTGTTGTATTTTCATTCTCTATTCTGCCCTTTATTATTTCCTTCCTCCCATCTTTGGGTTTACTCTGTTGCTTTTCTTTTAATACTTAATCTAATTTGCTTCCATCCTTCTGTGCTTTTCAATAAGTGTACTTAAAGCTATCAGTTTCTCTCAGTATCATTTAACTCTGTTAAATTGTTGATACGTAGTGCTCTGTCATTCATCTCTACGTATATCATAATTTCCTTCATATGTTCATAATGTAAGTAGCCAAAGGTTGTTTTATAGTGCTTGTCTTTGTTTCCAGTCCATCCAATATGATTAGACTTAGGGTTAGATGAGAGACTTTTTTCAAGTCATACTTAAATGTTTCTGGATTTCTTTCTTTCTGTCTTTTTCTTTCTTTCTTTCTTTCTCTCTCTCTCTCTCTCTTTTGCATTTGGATAAGAGTATACTAATTCATTGAAGTGTTATTTTGAAACACAGTCTGTTTTTTAAGTGTTCTGTGTTTGCTGGAAAAGACTGTATTCACTGTTGAATGAAAAATTTTCTATATGTATGTATTCATTTGAGTTTATTATGTTATTCTGGTCTTTCATATCTTTGCTTAGCTTCCAGCTTCTGAAAAGATGTGTTATTTGTTGATAAATTTCTCCCTATACTTCCACCAGTTATTGCTTCTTATATTTTTAAGCTGTATAACCAGAGGTATATATGTTCATGATCATTATGTTTTATCAGGATGCTGATTTCTTTTTTTCTCTATCAAAACTGCATTAAAAGCCAAGAGACATTTTCACCCTTTGATATTTGCCTGGTATTCTTTTCCATCCCTTTCTTTTCATTCCTTCTGTATCCTTTTCTAGTGAATCTCTTGTAGACAACATAGAGATTTTTTTTTTTAAGATTTATTTACTTATTTTAGAGAGAACGTTCACATGAGTGGGGGAAGAGAGAATTCTCAAGCAGACTCCCCGCTGAGTGTGGAACCTGACGTGGACTCAGTCCCACAGCGTCGAGATCATGACCTGACCCAAAACCAAGAGTCAGACACTCAACCACCTGAGCCACCCAGGCACCCTGATTCTTTTTTCTTTTTTAAATATTTTATTTATTTATTTGAGAGAGAGAGAGCACAAGCACGAGCAGGGGGAAGGGCAGAGGCAGAAACAGACTCCCCATCGAGCAGGGAGCCCAACACAGGGCTTGATCCCAGGACCCCATGACCTGAGCCAAAGGCAGACGCTCAACCGACTGAGCCACCCAGGTGCCCCAATGAAACTATTTATATTTCCTGTAATTATTATTGTATCGAGGGCTTATTTTTGCAACCTTAGTTCATGGTATTTTTAGTTTATTCTTTTCCCTGTCCTTTCTTCCCTTCTTTTAGATGGCTAAATTTCTTTCTATAAGTTTGAACACAATGTATTTGATTTTTATTCTTCTGGGTTGTTCCTTAGTTTATTTTTCCTTTGAGTATCCTTAACTTATCAGTATCTTTTTCTTTCCCTCCAGAGCCCCATTTCCTCTTGTCTCTGCCATCTTTTTCCTCTTCCTCCCCGCCCCCGCCCCACCACCTTCCCACCATGTTCATACTTTCTGGAATTTTAGTTCTGGGTTATTTAGAATATACATAGAGTACTGAATATATTGCTTATTTATAGATAACAGTGAACTGTACTGAGTTTTTTTTTTTTTTCAACCTTACTTCCCATGTATCTCATAATCCTCCTAGATTTACTTTCCTTTTTCCAGGAGTACTTGAGGAATGTTCACCAAGAGGGTCTTAAAATGGTAAACCTTATGAGACCTGAAGTACTAAGAATATCTTTAATATTTCCTCACATTTAAATGATAGCTTGGATAGATAGAAAATTCAAGGAAAAGAACTTTGAAACTATAAAGTTTGAAAAGTATTTCTTCCTTTTCCACTTGTACCCTTGTTGCAA